ACTTAATTGGCCAGTTAGTCCATCGGAATTGACCAATCGCATTTGTCATTTTGTTTGCTTCAAACGATTGGTCAATTCCGATGGACTAACTGGCCAGTTAAATTAACTGAGCTTGGTGACAGTGGCTTAAAATCCTATTGTAGATCCAGAGTAATACGTTCAATTTTTTCACAAATTTTACTTCTTTTCGTCAGAGGACTCGCCTGTTGACCCGAGTCGCATGTCGCATCTTCAGAAGTTTATACACATCGACAGGCTGGCCGCACGCGATTTCAGTTTTTTTTATCGTGTTTAAATAAATTGTTGCTGTTTATTACAAAGGATCGTTTTTCTTGAATTAAATTCTATGACAGCAAGAATTATTAAGATTATATCCTGCACAAAAGCTTCGAAGCTACTTGATAGTGTTTGAATCGACATCCCACCTATTACGAGAAAAAATAAATTCAACACGAACTTTATTATGTTTTTTCTAGCATTGATTACCATGTTTAAGACATAATTAAGGTATTTGTAAAACTATTAAATAATGGAGCATTCAAAGAGAGCCTTGTCTGATGAGCCAAAAATTCTCGAACCTGTTTTAATAAAAACTGACACAAACGAACGCATAAATATTGACAAAAATGAGGTAAGGAGTGTATCAACACGTCGTGTTAGAAAAATTCTAGGCATCTAATAAATGTGTATAATAAAATTTGTATTGAATGCATATTAAATATGATATTTTTACAATGTTGCTTGAAGACTTGTTCCTACATTTTTTGAACATGTAGGATATAATTTTTTTTCTTTTATACAGTTTGTAATTGGACGTGCCAGAGAAAATGATGAAATTATATTGGATCTCATGATATCTAGAAGACACTGCAGTTTTAGATGTGTAGGCCAGGATGAATGGATGCTTAAGGATTTAAGCTCTAGTGGAACATTTGTCAATGGTAATGCCATTGGCTATGGTGAAGTACAAAATGTTCGTCCTGGTGATACTATACAATTTAGTCCTAATAACACGTTTAGATATGTATTTACTCTTACCGAGAAAGACCATTGTATTAAGAAAGCACGTATAGATGAAAAGATACTCGACACTGTACTTGTCAAGCAGAAAACATTTGCCGAAAGTCAAGAATGTCAAAGAAAAGAGCTAAAAAATATGCTTGAAATAAATCAAAAAGAGCAAGTCAAGTTAAAGCAGCAACTTGAAAATCTGTTGTCTCAACAAGCTATGGCTAAAGATGATAAAAAGAATTTATTAAAACAAGTTACCGTATTAGAAGAAAAAATAAAGGCGTGTAATTCTCAAGAAGAACATCTGAACAACATGTATTCTCAGTTATTGCAAAAGTTGGAGAACGAAAGGTTGCAGTTTGAAGCAAGGCTAAACGAGGAGAAACAGAAATGGCAAGAAGCATTGGACATGAGTAAGCAAGAAAAAGAGATGTTGGAAATAAAAATGAAAGATCAAATGGAGAAATGGAGAGAAGAACAGCAAGCAGAATGGAAAAACATGATGGAGAGCAAGGTAAAGGAAGAGAAGAACATTCAGGCCCAGTTAATGAATGAGAAGACCATGTTAGAAGAAAAATTAAAAAACCATGTGAATGAGAAGACCATGTTAGAAGAAAAATTGAAAGAAACAGAGAAAGCCTTAAAGGAACAAGAAGCAAAAGCAGAAACTTCGCAAGCAATATTGAATAGTATGTTTTGTAATAAATTTTATACACATGTACACTGATTGTACTACATTTATATAATGTTATTTTTAATAGTGTGTTTTTTATTAAAACTTTGAAACAATTGTTTATTATTACACTACTAAATCATTCGTATTTTTTTTTTTTTTAGTAAATACATCAAGCGAAATTGCAAGTACATCAGAGTGTATATTCTTAAACTTGAATGGTGATCGATTCGAGGTTCCACAATATGAAATAATAGACACGATAGATTTAACTGAAATAAGTCAAAATATCCTAGAGACTAACATTAATGAAAACATCCTTGGAAAAGTGAGCAACATTATGGATGAACAATTGACATGTTCCATATGCTCGGAATTATTTATTAAAGCAACAACATTAAATTGTGCACATACATTTTGCCACCACTGCATAAATTCATGGAATAAGAAACAGAAAAATTGCCCTGTCTGTAGGAAACCAGTGATATCGATGATTAGATCATTAGTTTTAGATAATTTTATTGAAAGTATGATCGACAACTTGCCTACTGAACTTAAAAACAAAAGAAAAGAAATTATACAAGAAAGAGAAGGTAAGATTTTAATTATAATAATATGTTTTGTACATTAATATATCACTCTCTAACTATTTAATTTGTCTGATCTATATATACACTTTTGTTTCAGTATTAGCAACAAAGAAAAGGATGTATTAAAGTGCGAGTTGCACGAAATGCAAGATGGTACTAATATTTTTATTTTAATGTTAAATATATTCTAAAAAGAATGTTTGTTACTGTCTAATTGGTCGACAATTTGTACACTGAATGTTGGTGAAATGCTGGTTTGCTCTCTACGGCTGGTATTCATAGTCTGTTCCTATTTCAAGACCGTCTTAATAATAGCTTAAAATGTTAATACGACTCCCTCTAATTAGTGTATAACATTTAAGACTAAATAATATTTATATTTCAGTTAAATATAAAACTCGACTATGAATATTGGCATAAATGCTCTCGATATCTAAAAATTTAAGTTTTATTTTTATAAAAAGAAACCTTTGAAGCATCTTTTTTTATTTCACCGTTTTATTAATTTGCATTATCTTTATATATATAATAAAATACGTCGTTGTATGCATTATATGATTAATGAAATATTTTTATAAAACACTTCGGCCTTTTGTTTTATGTTTTTATATTCTATGTTGATATGCACAAAGATATCTTTTAATGATAATCAGAGTATTTAAAAAATCTTGTCAGAGAGAAAATAAAACTTGCTTAGTTACGTAATCGCATAATATATAAAAAAATTAATAAAAGATGTAATTGAAATGTGACAGTATGATATTCTAGAAATTTTTAGAACTTTCAAAATTTTTTAATTTTCACAGTTAATACTGATTATCTTCTTTCATTTTTGAGAATTTAAATGTTTGCGGTTTCCATAACCTTTTACTGCGCAGAATTGTTAAAACGCAATTTTTTACAATGTCGATATGTCATAAAACTAAAAAAATTATAACATTCTCTATAAGTTTGTTTCAGTTGCATCCATTGCACTTTTATCTTTCTTTTTTTTTAAAAGCCGATCATAGCTGTGTTCCAATTAACGCTCACAACAGTCACACACTCGTGGAATCATTTCATCCTTGTTATTCATCAAATATTAAACAAGGACAAGCAATACTCGTGAACAATACTACGGAACGCAGTTTACGCAGCCATTTCATTTTAAACGTCAAAGTGCAAGAAAGTGTAGCCAGGAGCAGCCAGGAGCAGATCTATTGAATCAGCTGTTACGTGCAAGTATGATTGTTGGAACTAAACCGTGCTTTGTAGTGATCGTTAAAATGCAAAGTGCACGTCCTTTTAATATTTGCTTTCAAATATCTAGATGCATTAGTTCATCCAGCATGTGTTCGACTTTAAAGAGAGAAAGTAGATTTATGAAAAAATTCGTGAATGAAAGTCACAAATCGAAAAAGTAAGACAGATTACGCTCCATATATATAAATTAAAAAAATGAACGTTTTTCTTAAAACTGTTAAATGCAACTTCCTTTATTTTTATGTTACAGAAAGTGGTATGACTCAAGTACAGTATTACGCAGTGTCACAAACGTCAATCCAACCGATAAATCACCTTCTACACATACCAGACGCAGAATGATAATTCGTGATAAACTTTTCATGCAACATATAACAGATATAATGTCGATGGGACAAGTATCTGACATTATAAAAGAAAGTATAGAGATTACTCATGTCAAAATAATGCAAGATTTTCAACATGTCAATGTGTTTTATATACCTAGTAACGACGCCTCAGTTGATCAAGAAACGTTGCAGAAGTGCGCCCGAATTATTCGGCATGAGCTATCACAGCTCCGTGTCATAGGTGTAGTGCCGCCTATCTATTTTGTTGAAAATAAGCTCTATTGTAGAGAGAAGGAGGTCGAAAAGAGATTAGCAATGATAAATTTCGAGGAAAATAGTGAAATCTTTTCCGAACAAATGGAATCAGATATGTTAGTAGTATCCGATGTTAGTAGTGTCGATCAGATTTCGCACAAAGAAGCAGTTGTAAACGATAATTCCAAGCTAGATGAATTTTATATCCAATTGCCAATAATGAGACACAATGTATTAGGACTAGATCATCACAAAATCATGTCTCGGGTAATCTATCTTATTATGTTTTTATTGATAAAAGATTAATGCGTGAAAATAATAATTCAAGGAGCATAAAAGCCAACACAAGATATTAGTACAATAGTCTATTTTTCATATATAACGATAATATAACGTTTCGACCTTAGAGTAGGTCATCTTCAGTATCAGAACAAATTATAAATTATCTATTTTAAGTCTTACAATATTTAACGCCACATAAATTTCTACATCTGTTTGTACAATATTGTATAAATGTGTGAAATATATTTTAATTAATTATTACAGATTACTAGTGCAGTGTCCAAGGCGAAGAAAGCTGCGCAAATACGAACGTTGGATATGAATACCAGTACAGATAAAAGCGATCCAGTCTCAAAAGAAGTCGAATTCCTAACCAAGGAAGAGCAACGAAAGGTCTTTTCTGATTTTCTAATTAAAAGACAAAGGGAAACACGACGCAAGAAACAATCGAATGGCCGGAAACTGTTAAATAATTTTGAAGAGATAAATAATGAAGAATCTAATTACGAGAATGATGTTGATATCGACATCGATGATAAATATATTGACGACGATAACAATGATTTCCAGGACACGCAAAAATGATTTCAAAACGATGTTTCAGAACAGTTTTTATTCAATATAAATATAATACTAATGCTTAACTTTCTGTACATATGTGTACAATAAATAATTTATTAGTAATAATATTGTACAATATACATAAAATCTTGCTACAGCTGTGAAATAATACAATTAATAACAATAACAAGAATGCTCATTTTTCACTAGACGCTACTATGGCCTGTGTTAGTAAAGCTAAGACTATACATAATGTACAAACTTCCATTATGTAGTTACACCTCATACTTTTGATCCCTTTTGATTATAAATTTCTTATAACGCGCTATATAATAAACTTAACCAATTCCACATCTAATCGACAAATAAAAATAATATAAATCTTACTTACGGCAAAAAAATCACATGTATTCCTTTAATATCTTCCGCGCATTTGCAGTAATACATTGTCATAATTTCCAAAATTGAAAATAAAGTATTAATGATTTCGCGATATCTTTTAGTATCTACAGTCAATCAATTAACATGTGATCAATGTCTATTTACACGTTTTTTTACGTTATTACATTTATAAATTACTTAAAGCACACATACATTCATATGTCGAATATATCTCGTGGCATTCTTATGTCACAATATGTGCTTACTATACATTTCTTTGTACCAGCTAACAGAACTGGAATGTCCTTTTTAATGAGAATATTCCACACTTTATTTAAATCTTTGATTCTGTATTCAGGTTTTTTTCTTCTGATCTTTGTCCGTCAAGTACTTCTTTGGGTAAATTTACGTCTATTTCTTGATCACTTATAGGTTTATACGGACGTACATTTGACGATGTTAAACGAGGTATCGAGTCACTTAAGGCACATGCTTCTAATACATATTTGTTAAAGGTTTCACTTTTGTCTGCGTATACATGATGACCAGCTCCAGTAATTACCTATATAATAATTTATTTTATAAATTTTATATAAACAGTTGTAAGTTGATTCATTTTATAGAGCACTTCCTGATTTAATTATTTTCTTACCTGAACATTAACATACGATGAAGACCGGTACTGTTTAATTGTTTCACCAGCTGAATTGTCAACCCATGATCTACTGCCATAAAGTAACGTTATAGGTATGTTATCGTTTAACTTGTCCATTCGTTTAACAATTGGATTTTTTGCCCATCCGAAACCATGCATCATTGCATGAAATGCGCTCTCACCTCTATGAATCAAATGTGAATCGAATATAATTATATAGCACGTTTAACATTTTTAAATTGCATTAAGATGTTTAGTTTGCAACTTACGAAGGTGTCTGCGCGTTACATTGATGTATATATTGCGAAATTATAGCAGTATCATCCTTCAGTACGGGAGTAAACTTCTTCACAATATCAGGTCTTGTCTTTTCAATGAGCCACTGTCCTGTAAGTAAATATTTTTGTTCAACGATGTGAAAAGAAAATAATTGCACATTACTGCGTATTACTGCATTTATGATAATACTAACCGAATGGTCCAGCAACTCTAACTGCCCATAGAGGATTCAAAGGCTGTACTGCAAATGCTATGGCTTTAACCCAGAATGGTATGTGTGTCTTGGCAACAGTATCAGATGGCTTCTCAGGAAAGCCCCATGGATCAGCTAGTATAAGATGTCTCACTCTTTCAGGATATTGCATAGCATAAGATGCCGCAAGAAAGCCACCCATTGAGTGACCCAACAATACAAAATTCTCTAGCTGCATTTCTCTTCTCCATTCTTCCACAGAACGTACTAACTGCTCCTCAGCTTTTTGCGCTTCATTACTAAAAACAGGTCTGCTACTTCTACCAAATCCTAGAAGTCAAATATAGCTGTGTTACAGATATACAAACTTGAGACACAATTAAAAACCACAGACAATAGAAACAAGAAATAGAGCAAGTATATACGGTTTCTGATAAGTTCAATCTGTTATTCCCTGTTTCTATTAACTGTGCTTTTCAATTATGTCTCAAACTACAGACTCACAGAAATCATTTTTTAATATATTTTGAAAATGCTCTTAAATATTTAAATATTTTGCATCTTGTTATAAACAAATTAATAGATTCATATATCGAATAACAGATTTATGCGCAACTACAAAGTTCAGTTGATTTGATTAGTCATATAGCTGAGTCATGTATTTGTCAAGAATGATGGATGATAAAATAATGACAAAAGAAGAGAGAACCTAATCATTAAATAAAATAACAGCAAAAGGAGAAAGAATATAATTCAATGATTAAGATCTTTGTATTTTTGCCATTATTTTATCGCATTATGTTATTAATAGTACATAAATAAAATCGCAAATAATTAAGCAGTAGAGAATCTCGATTCATTTTATTTCTTACCTAATATATCTATGGCGTACACTGGTCTTTGGGTTGCAAGTGCATCCAAATTCAAGCACCATAATGCTACTCCAGCTCCTAAACCGTGTAGTAAAACAATTGGGACCTTTGGCGATTCTTCGTTCAACGAAATAGTCCATATTTTATCCGCCGGTCCCACAACTGGTCCAATATCAACGAACCATCCTCGATATGCCGTTTTCAAGCCTAGTATTTCAATTAATGCATAAATGTAAATTTCGATCTTGACCTAAATTTAATTAGTAATATTTGTCTTTTATTATTTATCTCACTTACATGACAGAATCTTCTTCTCTGCAGCACGTAACATAGTCGAAGACGATCCAGACCAACTAAACCATCCCCAAATCCAGCTGCTGCAGCATTTTGTAAAATAAAATTACTTTTCTTAGCATTGGATTGAGAAAAAAATTCCTCTCAAATTATCCAACTATGTATCGACAAAATTGAGATGCAAATTATGAAATTACATATCGACAAAATTGAGATGCAAATTATGAAATTACATATCGACAAAATTGAGATGAATCGGCGTTATTTGGCAATTTATATCAAGTCATGCTTCTGCACATCATCGAGACACGTATACACATTGCGGATGATGTATTAATAGTCGTTATATCACAGACCAGAATTATTATGCTCTTCCCCGCGCATTCGCCACGTGCACCGGAAAAGATCTAGCCAAGAAACGGCCTTGAGATACCTATCAAAGCTAAACCTTTAAAACCGTCGTTAATCGCGATCGTTAACACGATTCGATTATCTACACCCTTTGTTGACATGTAGCCCGTTCTTTCTTCGCGCGACGATTTGTTGTCATCCGCATCTTGCGCCAAATGACGTAATATCGCGATACAATCGCGGTTCACAATCGCGACGTAATCAACGGATTGTGACGGAATCTTTCGATACCGCGCAAATGATCGAATCCTCTTTCGCTCACCTTTTCGCTTGAACGACTTCATGGTCTGCCATGGGTGCGAGATGACAACGACGGTGGGCTCCTCCTTGTCGCTCTGTCGTCGCGATCGGGGCCTCTTTGTGTCGATAAATGCGGAAAAACACGCGTGTGCTGTAACGCGCGCGATACTATTATCTAGCAGAAGTGTCCCGAACTGAATGAACAGCTCGGGCGAATGCGCGGCCTCATGGACCAAGCGCGATGCGGTGGATGACGGCACCGCGGAGGGGGGAAGAATCAGCTGATATCAAAACGTGACGCGCGCGCGCGCGTGCAGGCCGATTTCTGGAGCGTGTCCGTCCGCGAATCTCTTCTATCTCTTGTTCTCGAGATCCTATCGAGGTCACCTGGCCGAAGATGGTCGGAAAACAGGTCTAACTGAGTCATAGTGGAAGTATATACTTCCACCATGAACTGAATTAATTATTTCGCCTGATATTTGACACGAGAAAACGAACGCCGCTCTTCAACGAATCGAACGCTGGACATTTTTGAAAATCGTCTTTCACGATTCTAATGCGCTCTTTTTATCAGGATTGTTAAAAGTTACTTTCTCATTACTGTGTCATTACTTTTTATAATAAACAATTTGATAATGACGTTACAATTTTTTATGACGGTAACACTAACTGACTAAATGCTAAGACTGGAAAAGTCACTTTAAAAAGTAACCTGTCATCATTACGCATTACTCACTGAAAAAACTAAAAGTAACGAGTAACGAAATAGTAACGAAATAGTAACTTTCAAATTTCGTTATTCGTTACTAGAAATTGTAACTTAATTACCATTACCGTTACTCATTAGGAAAAGTAATTACGTAAAAAAAAAGTAACTTCGTTACCTTTTTTATGTAACTTATACAACCCTGCTTTTTATATAGTAGAATTTTGTTGGAATTTATAGGGGATAGAAATGGAAAGTTACCGATCAATGACTTAGATAATGAGAGCTCGTTAGATTAGCGATATGCTAACGGTTTTCCAACGGATTCTAGGAGAATATTACAGCAAATTGGCATCATCTGTGTCTGCATTATAAGCTCGTGTTCCATTAGTTAATTATAATTTAACAGAACCCAAAAGTAGAATCGATCATCCATAACTATTTAAATGATATATTCCACATATATACATACATTTAAATGTATAGATTCTATCCGGTTTTCGGCAATCAGTTTACCATCATATTTTCCCGATAAAAAATTTTTTATGCATATATGAATATGTATAAACATACGTAAGTATATATAAATATTCATAAACATATCTAATTATTATACATATATGAGATATGTCCATATATATGTTCATACATCCTTTCATTTATAAAATTATACTTTTACTAAAAATAATAATAATAATGAGAAAATATCAAAAATAATTAAAAGGAAAATTTTCGTATTGTTTATTATAGAAAAAATCAAGTTTGGAGAAATATAAAAGAATTGCTCATACATAATTGTATGTAAAATTATACACTATAGTTATGTATATGAGCAAATTGTTTTGCATTTTTCCAAACTTCATTTTTTCTGAAACAAACAATGCGAAAATTGTTTCATTAACTATTTTTTATGTTTTCTCATTATTATTATAATTTTTAGTGCACTAAAAAATAACTTTGCAAAAGAAAGAAGGATATATGGACATATTTAATGTA